CGACAGCCGCATTGTTCCTCCGCGGCGCTCCGCGCCTCCCCGCGCAGGCGGCCGCGGCCGAGGCGCCGCTCCGGGAGGCGGTGTGCCCGTCAGGCTCCCGGCTCCGCGGCGCTCCGCGGCGCTCCGCGCTCGCCCTCTTCCCCCGCTCCCTGGGAAGCAAAGGTCATCTCTTGCGCCCGGTCCGGTTCCCGGCCGCTGCCGCGCTGGAAATCAGGAAGCAGCGTGCCCTATTTGTCAAGTGTTTGACAGCTGAGTTCATTAAGGCTTAAATAAGGAGGAATAAAAGTAAAAAATATTTACGTACCGGGCGTCTCTTTTTCAGCAGCTGCCCAAGAGCTAGGTGTGCAGGGAGAGGGACGGCACCCTTTGTATATTATATTCTTGGGATCTCTTCAGTTTTCAAGTCTGATAGAGTCCTTTGCTTGGCAGATTAATGACGACTCCGTGTTTCTTAAGGGACGTGCTGAATTAATTATTTCGCAAATCACGTGGTCAGGACTTGTAGAAATCTATTCTTATCATCTTCCTTGCACTTTGAAATTCTGCCTGTTATGACTGTTCCTAGCAAGATTATTTTGGTCTCTAGGCTTGGGGGGAAGGAGGGAGGAAAAAAAAAAAAAAAAAAAGAAGGAAAAAAGAATCAGGGGAAAGGGCTAACAAACATGGCCGGTGGAAGCGGTGTGGCTGTGCACCGAGAGGTCCCTATTTACTGTACTGTACAGTGAGTGGGGCTCGCTATTGACTCTGCCTTTCCTCTTCATTCTTACCTTAACGACTAGTGGTGATATAATATACAGAACTGTATTGATGTATCGGGAGTAACAGGAGGAGCCATTAAACAGCACAGAGAGAAAGTACAATCACAAGATGTGCCTCGATATTTAAACTTAGCGAGTGTGTGCTTAGAAAGGCAGCCCCAGCCTGCCCTGGGCGCTCTTGGGCGGTAAGGGCACATGGTTTCTGCTGGGCACCCTGCTCCCTGCCCGGCCCGAGCCACAGACTGGATTTTTGGACTCGTGCCTTGACCACGCTCCAGGAGAGGACAAGCCCTCACTGACAAGCACTTATGACAAAAATAGTGCAATCGACTTCTCCTGGCTGTGTTATCGTCTGAGACACTTACGCTGGGAAGTAAAAAAAAATATGCTTGCCATAGGTGCATGGCAAAGTTTAAAGTCTCCAAGTTGTGTTTTCTTGTGATCTTTCTTTTGTATTCGCTGTCAAAGTGAGAGTTACTGCTCAGGAAAAACTACTGTCTGCTAGCAATTTCGAATTTCCATTTCTTTATTTAATTGATTCTTTCTAGGACTCACCTAAAAGAGACACATCTGTGCGGGCATCGAGGTGACTTCAGGTGTGGCTCCTCGCCTCCTACCACACATGCAGAAATCCAGGAGTCATTCTAGGAGGGCTTGTTAAATGCAAAGCAGCAGCAAATGGATGACAGGCACTTTTAACTGCAGCCCAAAAGTAAATATAGACTCCAGCTTGGCCTAGAGTCACACCATTATGGCTGAGGCAAACAGCAGACCTGTTCAAAGGGACATTTGGAAGGATGCTATGCAGAGTCACTCATCTCTTAACACTGTAATGATGGGAGGGAGCAGCATTTTCACAGAAGGGAGACCCACCTTGTAAGGACTGATTGTTCAAGGTACAAACCAGAATCTATTTCGCTACACCTTTTTATTATTTCAGAAGTATGTGGAGGGCTTACATCAAAACTACAGGCGACAGTTAGTATAAATAACGCTTTAATCAATGGCAGCAGAACATCAGCAAAGTCTATAAAAAGCATCACACTTTGACAGAGATGAGAGTGGCGCTGGACAATGCGACCGTTTAACAAAGGCTCCAATGCACAACGTTCACCCGCGATAAACAAAAATAATCAGCTTCCCTTCATACAAAAAATAACTCTGGAGGGTTACAATCATTGAAAAAAACAACAAAAACCAGCTCAGGTTCGTTTTGCATGAAGATAACGACCAGTGGGTGCTGCTGGTCACTATTACAGACACCCTGACCATTCAGAGCAATGGCAGCTGGAAACTATTTCTGTTTGGTGCTCTCTGCCTCCACTTCACGTACTGTCCTGTCTTAGGGTGCAATCACACCTATGCAAACCTACGGTGCTCCAGCCCCGCTCAAAGGGGACGTGCAAACAGGGCTGTAAGAGCTGTGCCTGCTGAAGCCAACACTCGTCCTGCAGTTATTACCATTTCAAAAGACAATGAGACAAATTCTGCTCGCAGCTACATGCCTGTTTGACTTCAGTGGGCGGGGGAAGGAAATCTGGGAGCAGAAGTTGGTCCTTTAACTTCGGGAGCCATCTCGGTTGATTAGAAGCACAAAGCAAGGATTTGCTTATCCAAGGCCAGTATTTTCCAGGACTGCACCTCAGATGCCCAAGTTGGTAGCTCTCTCTCGAATAGCACTTTTGCCCTGCTCGCAGCCAACTTATCGGACTTTAGGAAAACAGCGGGGGTCCGGGAGGAGGATTTTCAAGAGTAGCCAGAGGGATTTTACTTCCCCATACCCATTTTTCTTCTTTATTTTAATAGCTCTGTATGAAGAGCAAAAGGATGGCTTTGAGCAGCTCTGGAGAGGAAAGGCCACTACTGCAGGAACCTGGTGTAACAAAACTTGAAAACTTGGCTCAGGAATTCCCTCCTCAAGCGCTGCTGCTAGCTGCTCTCCATGCTAGAGAAAGGGAAGGGTAGTTTGGGTCCAAAAGGTTAAGGGTTTAGAGGTCACTCTTCCCGGCTGAAATACAACTAATCGAATAGAAAATTTGTCCTCTGGGTGAACCTGTTCCTGCAATTTAGCCGAACTTCAGTAAAATACCTTTTCAGCTTCTCAACGTGAAGGCGTCAGAAAAAAGACGTCTTTACTATGTATGAACTCGGTGCTTTTTGTCATAGAAACAATGATGCGAATAATGCGGGAATATCCATCTTTAATATCACGACGTGGAGATATTCAAGTATTGCCATGTGCAAGTCTGAGAACTGGGCTAACCCTAAGGAAGAACAAAGAGTTTTCTCCAGGCTCTAAAACAAAAGACCAAGTCTTAAAGACACTTTGCGGACTTCAAGGGATGAGAAAAGGGCAGAAATTAACTGCTGGCCACAGTTAACGTTGCCGAATACACTCTTGTTGAAAAGCTCGCCTTTTATTTTCGAATTAATTCAAGCCCATTTTGGCCAGCGTTTTCCCGAGCGAGCCCGGAGAGCCGTGAGTTCTCAGTGGGAAGCATCCAGCCTGGAGCAGGGCACGTTAACTCACCCCCTGCTCCTTCCACCTCCCTTCAGTGTTTGCTGAGTTTCCTTCTTCGCCACTTTTCTCTTTAATAAAGGGATCACCTCGTTACAATTTTGGCTCCGTGGTCCCTTTCCTAGGCTGCCCTGAGGGTACAGGAGATAAGGGCTGAGCTTTAAAGCCGCCTGAGCAGAGGTGTAAGTGGCTCAGGGAGCTGGTTTGGTTTGGTAGTTACAGAGCACTAAAACTTTGGCAACCAGCAGTCAGGGACAAATTCGTGGGTATTAGACCAGCTCTGCTCCCATCCAAGCCTTTCATCTTTCCTGAAAGCAACTTGCTGAGATTTCCAGCTATTGCAGTCATGTGTCATGGTTTGCTTAAAAGCATTCACTGTTCTAAAAAGAAGAAAAAAAAAAAAAAAAAAGCAACAAAAATCCCCACCAAAACCAGAAAAACCCCACCAAAACAAAGAAAACCCCTACCCAATCTTAAAAAAACCCACCCAAACCTAAAAACTAAACAAACCAAAGCCATAAAACCCCAATATAAACCCAAAACAAAACAAACCAGCAACCCACATAGACTATGTCTCTCTAGCAGAAAAGAAATTTAAAATCCAATTGAAAGAATGTGTTCAGCTTTCAGCTTTGAATGGCTCAGTTTATATCAGAAATTACATTAATTTTTCAGTCTGGGTTGCTGTTGGTTTTTTTTTGTGGGGTTGTTTTTGTTTTTTTTTTTTTTTTGTGGCCTCGCCTCTTTCTTTTCCCTTTTTTTCTTTCCATTTTTAAATGAGGTATCGATGGTTTAAAGCACAGCGCTGAACAGAGCAGACTTTGGAAACAGATTTCAAGCCTGTTAGCTCTGGATGGCACACGGTAAGAAGCTGGAACACTTTTCCTATTCACAAAGATGGAAATTTAAAAACAAGGATGGGGGGGAACAAGAAAGTTGTGTACGTTCAAGACAAGTAAACATTACATATGTGTTCATGAGACTGGGAAGGAAAAATTCTGTATTCCAGCTCCCCTTCCTCGTTTTTGGTTTGACTATTTTTCTTTTTGTCTTCATTCTTCTATGCAACAAATAAATAAATACACTAACATTACCAGAACATAAAATAACCCGTTTTCACTTCATTTCTATGCACACTTTCTGAGACGTTATGGAAATGAGCAAGAATTTTCATTACACCGAGAAAGGTAAAGCAGCACAAAAAAAAAAAAGTTCACAATTACTAGTCTTTATGTTCGAATAAAAGACTATGCTATGAATTTCCTGTCCTCAACTTGCCCAAAATGCATCCTCCCGAAATTGCATGGGATAAAAAGACAATTAAGAGTATAAATCCCAGAATAAAGCATCCAATCTTCACTTCAGAATTCAAAACTGAAACACAGGACAGTTTCATTTTCAATGATTTATTATTTTTTAAGGACAGAAGGTCTCATTTAATATTTTCCCAATTCCCACTGCCTGCATGATGGTTTGTTTATTTGTTTTTTCCCTCTCTTTTTTTTTTTTTTTTTGTTTGTTTTCCTTTTTTAGTTTGTGCTAGCAGAGGCAAATAAAATAAAGTCCAAAGTAGCGTCATTTTGTCTCCTTTGTACAACAGTACCTTAAAGAAAGATGACAGTTTCTCGTGTCCTTAGCTGCTACATGCAGGTTCTGCTTGGGCAGTGTCAGTTATGTACAGTACTGGTCAGAAGCGAAGGATGAAATGGAAAATTTCACCTCTTCTACAAAGTTGTCAAGTCAGTCTGATGGTCCTTGGAACCAGTTTGTAAATGGGGGTTTGAACCAGAGGAAGAAGATCTGCCCTTCGTGTTGGGCAGTTTGTGATCTTTTTTCCACTTCATTCTTCTGTTCTGAAACCAGATCTTGATCTGGCGCTCAGAGAGACACAAAGTGTGGGCTATCTCGATACGGCGGCGCCTGGTCAGGTACCTGTTAAAATGAAATTCTTTTTCCAGTTCTAGGACTTGCTGTCTGGTGTAAGCTGTGCGGGAGCGTTTAGGTTCCCCTCCGTTGTAATTGGGATTCACTGGGAAAAAAACACGGAGAACTTTTACAAAGCTAATCTTGACTTGCCGGTCCGACTTTACAAAAGAAAACCTTACGAGCTGCGAGCATGTGGCCGAGCTGGATTCGTCCCAGTCGCTTACAATGGCCGGGCTGCTGCTTTCCCCCCTCGTTTGAGGCAGGCACTACGGGCACACGCAGCTAGGTAGGCTGGGAGCCTCTAGAAGGCTCCTAAAATGGAGTTTTCTCCTGCACGCCAAAGCCCCGCATGGCCAACGGCCTATTTCCTCGGCAATAAAAATTTATGGCGAGTGTAATTGGCCACCTCGGCTTAAGAAGCTCGCCCACGAGCCTGGCAGGGACTCGGCAGAGCGCCGCTGAGGCCGATCGGAAGCAGGGGAGAAGAGCAAAGTAAGAAGAGGATCCTTACCCGAGTTAACATGGACTTTCTTCATCCAGGGATAAACTACTGCCGGCTGCTTAACTGCGGAGCCGTTTGGGGGTTTGAGGGCCGGCTGCTGGCTGCAGGCTCGCGGGTTGGGCATTGGAGGCGGTGGACAATGCTCTGCTGGGCCGGGGAAGTGGCTCGCCGGGCCGGATTGCTCCTGTCCGTGACCCCGCGGCTGCCCGGCAGAGCCCTGGGCATTGCTACAGCTAAAGGGCTGCTCGCTGTAGTTTGACCGTGGGTAGAGTCCCTGGTGCTGGAAATCAGCGCCCTGCGAGGCACTGTAGTACTCGGCCCCCTGCTCGCCTAAGTAGCTATTCTGCAAATATTCCTCGCAAGGAGGAAATTTGGGATCCACATACTTAGAGTTCACCATATACGAACTCATGGCCATTAATTTCTGAAGGTAGAAAATACTAATTTTTCTCGTGTTGTCTTTTTTTCCCCTGCCATAGAGCCCTCCTACTTGCTGTCAACTGAATAAAGTTAGGCGGGCATGTGACCGGCCCGGCCAATGGGGAGCCGGGCGCCCACCGCCGCATTTCCCCGCATTTCCAGCGATTCCACTCAATAACATCCCTCTCACCGAATGACCCCCCTCTCCGGCGGGCCGCACCCGCAAACCAGGTACCGGAGGTGTGGGGGTACCCCGGGGCGGCGGCCGCTGCCCTGCCCACAGCCTTTTGTCTGAGCCGCCTTCCCCAGCCCCGGGGGATGCTGCCCTGCCGTCCGAGCCGCTAGCCAGGATCGCCACCGGGGCTTGGTGCCTCGCTTTAAATAAAATAAGAAAAAGAATCGAAAGGAATATACAGAGCGATGAGCTGAAGCGGGGTTAAAAGGGAAGAAACTGATAAGCAGGCGAGGGAAAGAAAAGCCATCAAAGAAGAGGGTAATATGATGTACAATAGATCTGTCCTGTCTTTGTCTAGCAGAGGTCATCCAAAAGTTACCAGAATTTAGTTCTGCTGAATAAAATTAGGCAATCAGTAACTTCTCATTCACTTTCAAGCCTCAAAATATACGCGGGCAAACGTATGCGTGCACAGACGCAAACGCCAACCTGTATTTCTAAATCTACACATGTATGTATATAAAATCGTACAGATGGCAAGAAAGAGTTCACTTTTAACCACTAAAGTTCAATCAATTGAACTGGAGACGTCATTTAATTAGGTTAAAAATATCACGGGTTTAATGAGATAAATTCCGTCTTCATTCATCAATATCATTCCTGGAGCACAAGTAAATACATTCCAGCGAGGCGAATGCTGCTTTTGCTGCTGTCGTAAATATTTTGATGCGATCTGGACCCTTGACAGGGAAATTTTGCTAACGTCTCGCATATCTAGCTAATTTATGAGTATCTTATAAAAGAATAAAAGACTCATTCACTGATTGGTAGATAATATCTTTTTTTTTTTTTTTCTCCCAGAAATTTTGTAACTTCTGGTGAATTTAACTGTTTAGATTCAAAGATTGTCAGTGAGAGTTAGGACTGAACGACAACCGAAGTTTTAAGAAACGTCCTAAAACCTAGCAAATAGGAGCGAGGCAGCAAAACTTTTATAATTTCTGAGTGTTCAGCACGCACATGCCTCTTGATTCCACCAGTATTTTAACTTCTAACCATCTGCAGAAAGGTGAAGTTTTTGCATCGACCATATATTCCCCTAGAATCGAATCTGTGACTATATGAATATCACACAAATTCGGTTCTACAGGGTATATATAGACAACGTAATAACATTCTGTTTTCATCTACAATATAGCAGGTCTCTGCAATTCTCTTAGCCTCTTACTGTCTTCTGAGGAATGCAAACTATTCTGCTGGGACTCAGTTCTGAAATACAGATTTGCAGGAAGGTGGGATTTCAGAAAAGATTCACGCTTGTTATTATTGCTGCAATAGAGCTACACGACCCTCCACCAATTCAAAGCGACGAATTTCGCCTACCAAATTCTCAGAAAGACCTGCCGCTTTCTTTAAATTCCCTGCCACTTACGTCCTCGCTATGGAAAATGGACGTGGTCAGTCAAATTGCGCTATTTAGAATGATAATGGTTAAAGTAATTTAGCTAAGAGTCTAAATATTTAGGCTAACACGAATCTGAAAAGATTCTCCATAATTAGAAATTCCCCCAAAATAAAAAAGATTTTCTGAAAAATCGAAACAGGAGCAAAACAGCCGACAACAGAAACAGCGGTTGGTGAAAGAGATGAGGTTAAAAGCTGGAGTTAGTTGCTCTCGGGAAAAAGAGAGTTTCCAAATTTACCTTCATCCTATTATGCTGGTCTAGCTATTATCCCCGCGATCTGCCTGCGAGCCTTAGCCTCGCACCCTCCCAGGTTTTCCCTGCCGTAGCGTTTATGGTGAAGGGCAGGGCGAGAGGTCAGCCGAAATCATTTACAAACATATCACAAAGTTTCATTATTTTTACTTTGTCGACAGCGGCACACAGGAGTACAAAAGTTCATGAATTGTGTCTGACCCAGCTCCTCACTGCTGTCCTGCGGTCAACCTCTTCTCCTTCCACTATTTAAAACAGGCACCATAAGGACAAATAATGGTGCGGGTGTGATACATCCAACCACTGCGGAGGGCAGATTTGGGGGTGTTGCGCTTATCCGAGCGATGTGCACCGGGTTGTTTGGCTGCCTCCAGCTCCCAAGTGCCTGAGCTGGGAGATGCTATTTTCAAACGCCTGCTTTCCTACCACTGCGGCGGTGCCTCCTTCACAGCAAGTGCAACCCAAAACGACTTTATATCCTTCATCTCCCCCCGGATTCTTCAAATCCCTACCCAGCTATTTTCAGCATCTCTCTCGCTTTCGCATCCTTTCTCTGAGGGGAGAGGGGACACCCCCCCGCCCCCGCGGGGCTTGTTTAGCACCCGGCTGAACTGGCAGGGTAACTCCCCTCCGCCCCCCAAAGAGAGCTCTCCTTTGGGGCAGCCCCCGGGAGCGGACAAGCCCCCCTAGGGCTGCCCAGGGAGCAGCGAGGGAGCCGGGGAAGCAGCAGCTCCCCGTTCTGCTTAATACTACACATTTTCATATTTGTTAGACGCTGTGACCTGCGTTTCACCTTATTGCACGACTTGCTCAGACAGGTCAAAGCCAAAGAGTTATTGATGAACAAAAGCGTTATATATTCACCTCCTGTTCAACTGCCCATACAAAATACTTTTGATCTATCAGGCTTTTTGTATTCTGGTTCATAATCAGTATGCTAAATGTACGTTGGCAGAAAACAAGTAATCCATACATTTAGGGCCGACCCTGGAATAAAATGCCAAGGGCGTCTAAGCAGCACAGGACTGAGCTATGGGGGAAGGAAAGTTACCTATGGAACACAATTAAAATTGCAACGCTGAAGGCGATTCTTCAGCTCGTATTTATGGGACTCGAAAACCAATATTGCAATGGAAGACAAAAAGACCGCGAGAAGCTTGGCGCATACAGTGAAATAGATTATTTATCAGGAAACAGGGAGAGGAAGCGGGAAAACGCAAACAAACGCACACGCAAACACTCCTCTCCTTCACATGCTCCGGGTCAGAGCCGGGCTGCCAGAAACGGGAAGGGCGATGTACAACCTAATGCATCTCCAAATACCGCAGTCTTCCTCTCCCTCTTTGAGAGACAAGCCGGTCTCAGCCTGGAGGACCAGGACCAATGCACCCAGCTCCTCACTGGAGCCAGAAAGGTTCAACAGCAGCTCCAGACACACACTGATCTTCTGCCCTCCCCTCGGTCCCCCTGGCGCAGCTCAGGCAGGACCATCTGGGATGCGAAAACCCCTCCAGTAAAAGATTGCCCTGCTAAGCATGATACCCATTCTATTCCGTGCCTTCACAGCATTTAAATCCGCGTTAGAGTCTCCCTTGCTCCGAGACCTCTCGCACCAGCAGACCAGCCCTACTGCCCGCAGACCCGGGCTGCAGCTGGGCTGCCCCGGCTCGCCAGCGCTGACCGCCCCGGCCCCTGCCGCCTCTTTCACCCCGCCACCCGCCTGTGCCAAGCGAGGGGAACAGCAGAAAGCAGGCACAGCTCTGCTTCGGATCCCGTCTGCAGAAAAGAGTGGGAGTAGCCAAGGTTATGAGGTGCTGGGATACAACGTGATCCGTCTGGATTCTGCACAGGGAGGCGCTGTACAGTCCCGCCGAGTTAAAATGGAAACGCTGCTAATTGCTTTGGAGCGCTTAAAAGCAGGACGACACCTGTACAGCCCTGTAATAAACCCCCAGGAGACTGCACCTCTGCTTTTAATGCTAGCCAGGATTATGACATGGTACCACAAACTGACTCCACAAGAACCTTCCCATGCTGACATAGTCCTTTCTCTTTTTTTCTTTTTTTTTCTCTTTTGGGGGGGGAGGGGTGGAGGAGGAGAAGGAAGAAATATCCACCAGGAATCATAGTTTGCGGGTTTTTTAGGTCTGGAGGGAAGAACCAGGATTTTCGATTAACACAAACTACAAGAAATAAAAGGTTACTTACTGTGGATGTTCTTCCATGCTGCAGAACCTGTTGCAATAAAAACGTTTGTTACTGTTGTATTCCACATACGGGTGATATTTCTGGAGCACAATTACAAACCACGTTTGATAGATGAAGGCAGAAAGGAGCTGGTGGTAAATCCTGCAAGCAGAGGAGTGGTGGGATGGAAGCCCCTTCCAAATGAGGACCACGTTGCGTTCAGGCAGTTTTTTATGAATACACGCTTTCCCTGTGCCTGGGGTGTGATCTTTCACTTTTAATATTCATAGTCTAAATTTTATACGGGATAATTTCTAAAGAAATGAAGAGCCAGACCTCCTTCTTTCACTAATGGAAAAGAATAACAAAGGCCTTTTTCTTTTTTCTTCTGTGGGAATCCAGTCGCATTCAGATCACCTTTGCCAAACCATCACCCACAAAATATGCCATGCAGCATTATATCCGTGCTAAACACAGAAAGACCTGTAATTTTATCAGAATAAATATCGGATTACTCCAAAATAGTTCTCTTTTAGGATCACCTAATTAACCTCTCAGTAACCACGAGACATGCGCCTTTGTTTGCATTATAGAAGGATAGATTTGACTTCAACTTTCCTTCAAATATTTTATTAAATCTATTCAAAGATTACATAAGGGAAACAAACCCACACGTTTAGTCTAATTCTCCTGAAACTCGTCATATATTTAAAAGTAAATACTACTGGGGGGTTCTTTTCTGTTAGCGATTTTTCATCTCCTGTATTGCCTTCTTACGATATCTTGGCGAGTTATTGTATTAAACACAGAGCAATTGCCTCCGTATCAATACTTCACTGCATAGAGCTCCCCAAGACCTTTCTTGTTAATTTAATTATTTCTTTTTTTGTTGTTGTTTTTTTAAGTTCTGCCCACTCTAGGCAACAT